TTTCTGTGAGTTAAAAAAAAGAGATCATCAGACATGTGAATTCTGTGTGTAAACTAGGAGTAAATAAGCCCCACCAGAGATAAAAAAAAGTTTTTATTTAGATATTAACCTATGTACACACTGTCTCCTCCTTCATTCAAACAGATAATAGGTCTTGTGCTACTAGTCTCAAGGAGAATTTGTGGCTGCTATTAATGAAATTGGGATTGAAAGAGATGAATTTCCTCTGGCCAGGGTTTTTATGACTTAGACCCTTGAACTTGGATGTGGAAAAAAACCCACATTTTTCTTTTCATTAATCTGTATCTGAAATGTAGCATTTCCTTCCATTATGAATGCAGGCAATAAACCACTGTTGTATTAACAGGGCCCAGGCCTTTTTCATCAGCAGAAATCAGCTCTTTTCATGTCCTACCATGGGTGTTACAATGTGTTCAAATATTGTTAACATTTATCAGCACTTCAAAAGTATGAAGTTATTAGATCCATCACTAGATCTTCATATTCAATTAAAAGAACCATACATTACTACATTGTGTCTGTTTTTAAAATACCATGATAATTGTACACACATCAATATTTCTCCCCAGTCTGGAGGAAGGAAACAAGGAAAGAGCGGAGAGGTCTGTGAGACTGAGAGCAGGAGCACGGGTCCCTGCGGAGGGCATGGCTACTCACTGCGTTGTCGGGAGACTGTGTCCCATGCCACCAAGTTGGGAATGGAAACTGCTGACAGAGCCACTGTGCCCTGCAGGGATAAATGCCTGAGGGTTGAATGGCCCCTGCCAACAAAAGCCCTCCCAAAACTGTGCAAAACTTTGGAACCCCCCAAAAGCTAAGTTCTGCTTTTCATACAACTGAGTTTGAGGGCTGAAGTTTGTGGCAGCTGTAAAGTCTCCTCTAGTCACTAAAAGGCGTAGCTTCAATTACAGTATTTTTGTGCATTATAAACATGAATAGCATGGAAAAGGTTAAATGTCTGTGCTCGGATTATATGATCTAGCCTGGACCTGCTGTGCATATGGTAAAGTTAAATGAAAAAAGAAACCCCCTTTGTGTTATAGTCAGGCATTCTCAGATATGACAGTTGAATAATAATAAAAAACAAAACAAAACATAACAACACGAGCTCTAATCAGGTTGCTCGGGGCCTTTGATGGAATCCTGAGCAGTGGCTATGTTTCGGATGGGGGCTGACGTATGGCAGTCTGTGTGTGCCAGCACTGGGAGAGGCCGTGTGCACTCCTGGTCTCTCCATTTGCTGCCTTACCAGCCAGGGGACAAAAATGGGACCCCAGACATCTCTGTACTGAGTCCAGTCTCCACTGCCTCCATTAGAGTGGCAACCTCACTGATCAACTCAGCCCTCTGTCTCACTTTCTCCTGTTTCTTCAATTCAAAGATAAATGCTGAACTCAAGGGCTGAAAGAAGGACCAGGCCAAAGCTTCTTCCTCCTCCTTTCTACATTGTCCACAAACTCCTTCCCCAAAATTAAATACCCATTTGGGGTGAAGAGAAGTAGCCCTGCTCCCCTTCAACTCTCGTAGAGAGCTTGCTTTCCCATCCCTACGTCCCCTCCTCAGGCCTTTCTTACCCCTCAGTGTACCCCAATACCTGCAGGGAGAGAGTGAAAGGTCAGAGGGAGAGGTAGGGGTAGAGTCCAAATTTTTGTTATTCTCTGAACCCCCACTTCGCCCTTCCATAGCTGGGCCTAGTGTGGGAAGAAGAGCCTCAGGCCTCAGCTTGCCAGATTGTGCAATGGACCAGCTGACAGGTGAAGCAGGCCTCTCCCGCCCCCAGATAATGTCAGCAGTTTCAAAGGCAACATCTTCTAAAGTTGACTGTCTTGCTCTTGGATGAAGCTCAGACACAGCTAAGCTAGTGGCTGTAGGTCCTCCTCTCTCACCTTTATCCCTCAGCAACAACAGGGAGGCAAAGGGATGACAGACTGGAGACCTGGGTTCTAGTCCAGAATCTGCCAGTAAAGCATCCCTAGCCCACCCAAGTCTCCATCCTACTTTAGCCTTAGTTGTTCCATCTTTAACATAAATGGGTAAAACTAGATGAACTTTAACATCTTTTTCATTCTTTAATGGTCTTTGCACATTATTTACGTCCCAAAAATCACTACTCTCTCTAGGGCAAACCAATAGGCACCATGGCAATGAAGGGCCTATCACAAGCCACACAGTCAGGCAGGGGAAGTGGGGATTGGAACTCACCTATTTAGAGCCCTAATCTACTCAACTATATTGTTCAAGGCTTGACCTCACTCAGGAACTCTACCCCTCTTCTAAAGGTTGGGTGGTCTTTCAATTAATATACATGCATGAAGAGAACGTTTGAGGCCCAGGAGAGCTCTGGTCCTGCTGTTGAGCTCACATTCAGGAAGGAAGCCAAGAAAGCTCACGATCAGGGAAGCAAAAGGAAGTCCGGAGGCCCAGCCAGATGTGACACTGGCCGATGAAAAAGAATGGGTGCCAATGATGCATTACGATAAGAAAAAGTAGGTGCTAGAATGTTTTGCTTGTTCAGAAAACAATGTTCCCAAGCATATGTTGTTGTCAGAGAAAAGTGGTGTCTTATCTAAACATGCAATCAGCTTGGCTGGGAAAAGAGGCCATGACTTAGAGACACATACAGTCTGTGAGAAACAGGTTGGAAAGGGGCGGAACAGGAGCATGTGATTGGTTGCCTCTCACACACCCCCAACTGGGGACCTGGCCCACAACCCAGGCATGTCCCCTGACCAGGAATCAAACGCACAACCTTTCGGTTCTCAGGCCAATACTCAATCCACTGAGCCATACCAGCCAGGGAGGGAGGTGGATTTTTATAAGCTTCTTTAGTTCCCAGGCCAGTGTTCAATCCAGTGAGCCACACCAGTTGGGGTAGAAATTTACAAGCTTCTGTTGGTCTCTTCAGGCTTGACATTTTGCTTCCTGGTCCACAGGCCTGTTGGAGGAGACGTGGGGTTCAGAGGATAAATAACCTTGAAAGACCACAGTAGTGGCTAGGAGTTTCATCTTTCTCCCTCTTTACTTTTTATATTTTGAAATATCTGATATAGCCAAAAGAACACATGCTATGTATATATAGTCATATGCATAATAAAACAAACACTTGTAAATCCACCACCCCACATAAGAGCTGGAACATCACTACTTGTATTAGAAGATCTCACCCTGCCTCAACCTGAGTAGTGGCTACGTTTCGGGTGGGGGCTGATGTACGGTGACTGCTCTTGTAAATTTGTCCCACAATCCTTTGCTTTTCTTTATATTTCCCTACACATAAAGCCCCAAACAATAAATTGTTTAGTTTTGCTTATTTTTAAATTCAACAAGAATATATTTTATGAATTACTTTTTCACTCATACTTTTCAAATTCATCCATGCTGATGTGTAGTTTATTAATTTGTACTAGGTATAGTATTTTACTGTGTGAATATACCACAAATAATTTATCCATTCTTTTGTCCAAGGGCATTTGGATTCTTTCCAATTTTTTGCTGTTTTGGTGTCTATGTTTTCTAGAGCCCAAGTATAAGAGCTTCCCTGGGGTATATGCCTTGGAGTAGAATTACTGGGTCAAATTGTTTTTCAGAGTGGATGGACCAATTTATGTTCTACTCATCAGAGTTCCTGTTGTGCCACATCCTCTCCAAGATGGGATTATTCTCCCACTTTCCAGCAGTATCCCTAACTTGGGTATCTCTGCTGGGGACCCTGAGTTAGGCTCCCACCTTTCCCAGCCAGAGCCCATGGATTTTAAATGCCCCAGTGAACATGCTGAGCTCTTTCTACGTACCCACATTCATAACTGAATAACGTTAAGCACCAGGGAGAGGAGGAAATGACAGTTTAAGGACAGCCTAGACAGTTTGGGTGTAGACAGTTTAGGTCTTTCCATGTGACTATCAGAATCATTGGATCCTTTCATTTATTTACTTATTTCTCACACGAGGACCTTTTTTAAACTGCTTTTTTAGATAGGAAGGCAGGGATAGAGGACTTAGAGAGAGGGGAAGCTGGGAGTTGGGGGAGAAAGAAAGGGAGAGAAACACTGACTGGTTGCCTTTTAGTATGTGCTGAAATCCACTCCAACCAGGGACCCAACCCACAACCCAGACATATGCCTTCACCAGGAATCAAATCCAAGACCTTTTGGTTTTCAGAATGATGTGCAATCAGCTGGGCCACACAGGCCAAGGTGATCAATGGATCCTTTTAGAGAATGAAAGGAAATTTAACATTTTTAAAATTTTTTAATTAAAATTTTTTATTTAATTTATTTTTTTCTAAATATTGCCATTTTTATCATATAAAAATTTTGTTGGCTTATCAAAATCTATAAAAGTAAATACATAAAACTTTTCATACAGTTCATAGTAATTGTCAGCCTAAGAAAATGAGCTCACTGTTGGCTAGTCTAGATAATGCATTCCACAAACCTTGGTGAAACCAACTTTTTTGTTGTAACAGAATTTACCAAAATCACCAGATATGTGTCATTTATCTGTCTGTAATGAGACCTTGAGGCAGGCAGGACCCTTTACACAGATTTCATCTGAGAATTGCCACTTCTTCTTGAACCAGTTACATGAAGCAGGTTTGAAAAGTTTTTATTTGCATATTAAAAAATTGAGCATTCCATTTGTTAAAATAATTTGAACAAAAAATGGCACTCTGATTAAACTGCATTTTACAGCCTGCAGAACACCTTGGACCAGCTTGGCTTTTAGACTAGGTTTCACTGTCCTCCCACTGAACTTCCTTCAGCAACATGCAAGTTCTTTTCCTTCCCTGTCAGCCAGCCAGGCAGATGGGAGAGGCAGGTGCGGCCTCCATTGTCAGTAGTCTGATGTGAAAAGGGGCAGCCCAGTCATTTAAATTGATGCAACCTCTTTGCATCTTACAAAGTTAAACAGCTAAAAGAAGTAAAATAAGAAGGCAATGCTTGTGGAATGTACAGTGCATATTGGTGGTGTGGGCCTCATTATGATTTGCCTGCTTGTTTCTCCTGTTCAGTTGTTTCTTTGGAAGGCAGTGGATTTTTCTCTTGCTTTTCTGTCTTCTTCAATATTGACTTATTGAATTTCTCAATCTCGGCCACATCAGGTTTATCAGACATGATTGCTGAAGAAGTGCAGCAAGGCATGAGACAAGAGGAGTCCAATTTGCTCAGTGACTGCCACTAAGTCTATTTTATCTTTCTAAAAGATTTTATTTATTTACTTTTAGAGAGAGGGGAAGGGAGGAAAAGAGGGCAGGAAACGTTGATGTGTGAGAGATACATCGATAGGTTGCCTCTCCCACATCCCAGTTGGGGATCTGGCCCACAACCCAGGCATGTGCCCTGACTGGATATCAAACTAGTGACCTTTCAGTTTGCAGGCCAGCACTCAATCCACTGAGCCACAGCAGCCAGGGCTAATTTTTATTTTTTAATCACAGTTTACATTCAATATTATTCTGTACTAGTAGAAGGCAGTTTTGTTAGTTCTGCCCTAACCAAAGCACACTGGACCCTGGTCCCCTAGGTTGACTGAAGATGTGTAATTAATTTTCTTCCACAACAACCCCCCATTTCTGTTTATCAGGTGAACACTATTTACCTTCCTCTACTCTCTCTTCCACTCTCTAAGTCAGTATTTCTCCAAATGTGGCCCACCATCCACCCATGCAACAAACAGCTAGAGTGCTTGTTAAAAAATGCAGATTCTTGGACTCCTCCTCAGACCAAATCTGACTCTCTGGGGTGCAGCTCCGGAGCCTGCAACAAGTTCCCCAGGTGATCTGTGTGCACACTGAGGTTTCAGAGCTGCTGCTCTAAACACTGCCATATGGGAGGTAAGGCCAAGGTCATCTCCAGGGACATTCAGACACTCTCCCTGCAGCTCCTCCATAAGGGATGAGTAAATTTCACCTTTTCATGACCCTTCCCCTACTTCCACTGTTCCCTAAGACAGTAGGGATAAGAGGACCACTGAAATTGTAGCATCTGTGTGTACAAGATGTGCAGCCCAGCATTTTTTTTACATAAAGAGAAACTGATTTCTAGTGAACTAACATAATGGTGTATCTTTCCAATGGAATCCTATGCAACTATTAAAAGTGACTTTATATTTTGATTACTGCATCTCCATTTTCATTGACTCTTTTTATTTAAAAAAATTAAAATATTTTATTTATTGGTTTTAGAGAGAGGGAAAGAGGAGAGAGGGAGGGAAACATCAATGTGACAGAGAAACATGGATTGGTTGCCTCTCACACACACCCTAACCAGGGACTGAACTTGCAACCCAAGAATGTGCTCTGACTGGGGATGGAGTCAGCAACAAGTTAGGGCAATTTAACATGATTTTTAAACCTATGCACCCCAATGTTCATAGCAGCACAATTTACGATAGCCAAGTGCTAGAAGCAACCTAAGCGCCCATCAGTAAATGAGTGAATCAAAAACTATGGTACATTTACACACTGGAATTCTACACAGCAGAAAGAAAGAAGGAGCTCCTACCCTTTGCAACAACATGAATGGAACTGGAGAACATTATGCTAAGTGAAATAAGCCAGGTGGTGAAAGACAAATACCATATGATCTCACCTTTAACTGGAACCTAATCAACAAAACAAGCAAGCAAAATATAACCAAAGACATTAAAATTGAGAACAGGCTGCCAGTCACCAGAGGGGAGAGGGAAGGGAATAATGGAAGAAAAGGGTGAAGCGTTTACAGGAACAATTATGGAGGACATATGGACAATAACAAAGGCGGGGGTGGAAACAGGGAAAGGAGGAAGGGAGAGCTGGGGTGGTGGGGAGGGGTGGGGGGAAAAGGCAAAAAACTGTACTTGAACAACAATTTTAAAAAATGTTAAAAAAAAAAAGATTCGGTGAGCCTGGGGTAGATCAACTGATTGGGCATCATCCTGCAAAGCTAAACCTCTCTCCCTCTTTCTCCTTCCCTTCCCCTCTCTCTAATAAATACATACATACATACATACATACATACATACGTATTTTTAAAATTAAATAAAAAGCATTAATTTATACAGTTTCCACTTTTGAGTTTCCTGCAATATGTAGGCATTATCTTTACAATCAGAAAAATACAATGAAATACAAAATACAAAAACATCCAGAAGCATTTGCTGAATATTTTTAAAGGAGCTGGTTTAGATTATTCAACATGTCATGATAACAAACATCCTTAAGTTAGCAAAGGAAATACTACAGGAAAATTTTTTCAGATCTAAGGGGCCTGAGTTTCCAGATTAAAAGAGCTCACCAAAAGGCAAGCACAAACATCCCCAGCTGGTGTGGCTCAGTGAATTAAACGCTAGATTGTGAACCAAAGGGTCACTGAGTTCGATTCCCAGTCAGGGTACATGCCTGGGTTGCAGTCCAGGGTCCCAGTGCAGGGCATGTGAGAGACAACCACACATTGATGTTTCTCTCTCTCTCAAAGAAAACATAGAGTACTGAAGTCACCATAATGTAATGCCTAGAATTGATAAACTGTGAAATTGTAGGATATGCATATTATTTAAAATATGGTTAAAAACAAGGGAAAGCGTTGAAAGTAGTTGCCTCTGAGGAATGGAACAGAGATATGATAAAAGACTAGGGTATTTTGCCATAAGCCTTGTGGCAGTATTTTTTTAACTATGCACACACACTTATTGTTTTTGTAATGAAAGTTGGAACACACATACATTGCTATTTGAATGTAAAATGATTCAGTCATTAATTTAAAAGGTCAAACAGCCCCAACTGGGTGGCTCAGTTGGTTGAAGCGTCATCCTATACACTGAAAGGCTATGGGTTCAATCCTTGGTCGGGGTGCATATGGGAAGCAACCCATCAATGTTTCTCTCTCACACAGATTTTTCCTCTCCCTTCTCTTTCTCTCCCTCTCTCCCACACCCTTTCCTCTCTCTCTCTACAATCAATAAGACATATCCTTGGGTGAGGATTTAAATAAATAAATAAAAAGTTAAACATAGAGTTACCATAAAACCTGGCAATTCCACTCCTAGGAATATAGTCAAGAGAATTTAAAACAAGTGTTCAAGCCCTGGCTGGCGTAGCTCAGTGGATTGAGTGTGGGCTGCAAACCAAAGCGTCGCAGGTTTGATTCCCAGTCAGGGTACATGCCTGGGTTGCAGGCCATGACACCCAGAAACAGCACATTAATGTTTCTCTCTCTCTCATCTCTATCTCTATCTCTATCTCTATCTCTATCTATCTCCCTCCCTTCCCTCTCTAAAAATAAATAAATAAAATCTTTTTTAAAAAGTGAAAAAAAAAAGAAAACAAGTGTTCAAACAAAAACTTACACAGGGATAGTTCAGCACTATTCACAATAGTCAAAAAATGGAAACATCCCCAATGTCTATCAACTGATGAATGCATAAGTAAAATGTGGTATATATCCTATAGTGGAATATTATTCAGCCATACAAAGGAATGAAGGATTGATACATGAATGGTTTTGAAAACACTACCCTAAGTGAAAGAAGCCAGGCACAAAAGGTCACACATTATATCATTACATTCAGAATAGGTAAATTCATAGAGACAGAAAGTTGATGACTGGTTGGCTAGGGCTAGGGGTAGGAGGAGATAAGGAGTTACTGCTTAATGAGTACAAGGTTTCTTTTTGGGCTGATGACAATGTTCTGATAATGGTTGCACAAAGATTACTGAATTGAACACTTAAAAATGGTCAAATGATGGATTTTGTTACGTATTTTTTATCTCAATAAAGAATAACCAATTCAAACTGCCTTACACAACAAAAGAGATATTTTGAGTTTAAAGTATTAAAACACACACACACACACACACACACACACACACACACACTCCAATATGCATGTTTTCCCTCCATTCTTCCCGGGCCTAAATCTCCTGTGCTTCAAGATCCCAGCACACTGAACCTGCAAGAGGAGTTGGGGAGGACAGAGCACTGTAGTGGGAAATGGACGCCTGAGAGCCAACTAGGGTTGTAGCTCTGCCACTAACTTGCTGTAAGACCTACAGAATTCTTAACCTAATTTTTAGTTTCTTCACCACTAAAATGGAGCAATAACAGTTCTTATCTGTATGATGGTGAAGATTAGAAGAGATAATATTTTTTAAAAGCCTCACCCATGTTTGAAACATCAATGTGACAGAAACTTTCATCCTGTACCCAACCCAATCCAGGATCCAATCCACACCACTTCCATGTATGGGAAGACGCTCCAACCAACTGAACCACCAGGATGGGGCAAGATAACACTTTCAAAGTCCCAGGCACAGTGCCTGGCTCATAGTAAACACTTAAATAATAGAAGACACAATCTCACTTAGGGGACTCTTAGGTTAATATTAATATTAGACAACCCCTAAACATGAATGTTTGGAAATGATCCTCCTGCTCCTGGAATGAGTGATGTAAGCATAATGGAGCAGAGCAGGCAGGAGAGGACCTTCGGAAAATGCGGTATTATATTTATTGAGCACTTATGCAGTAACAGGCACTGTTCTAAGGCCTCAACCCCCCCCCCACACTGACCCCCACCCCTGCTCAGGGAGACGTGTCCTTGGGGCCAAAGATGCTGGGGTTTAAGATTAAGACCGAGCAGTGGAAAGGAGGCTGGCGCCGATCAAAGAATTTTGGGACAGTGGTCAGCGGCCTCAGTCGGGACCCAGAAGTCGAGTTGGAGTGGACCCAGGCAGGAGCAGGATGCAGTACAGCCCTCAAGGAAGGCCTGCAGGGACTTCTGTAGGGGCCGCCTGTGGAAGGTCCCCAGACAGGATGGTGAGGCATGCAGGGCTGGGGATGGGCAACGGGAACAAAAGGGGCTTTGAATTCCATTGGACAGAGTGGCCAGGCCCTGTCCCCCAGGAAACCTCCCCTGACTGAGCCCTGCCCCTTCTCTAGAGCCCTCTCACTCTGGGCTGCCTGTTAACCCTTCCTGTTCACAGGGCTCAGTTTACTCACTCTGCTAGTCTGGGATTGTTTGCGAAGTTGCATTTTATCCCTTTTAAACAGTGGGCAAAGGATCCCAACTGTGTGCCTCTCATGAGCTCCAGCAGACCTCTGGGCTCCACGAAGGCAGAGCTGGTCTTTCATCTTTG